CCATTGATTATAAGGAATTCAGAAATTTTGCCTTCTCTAAAAGGGAAGAAATTGCATAAAGGCATGAGTATAAAGAGGTGGAAATTAGTGGGTGTCTGTTCGTTACAGAGGGGTTTGGAGAAAGCTAGTGAAACAGTTCTCTAGCCACTGCTTAGGGCCCTAAGGGAACAGGCAGTGGGCTTCTGCAAGCCATGTTAACTCTACTCAGGTCTCTGGCCCTGATAAATACCCTGTAGTGCAGCAAGTTGTTGCAACTTCAAAGGAAAGAAAAGGAAAGAAAAGGTGAGATCACTTTGCCCGGCAGCCCTAAAGAGACCTTAGAGACTTACTTAAATGCCCTCCAGAGGTAATCTTGCTATAGTTAGTAAGCAAGACTAGCACAGTATAGGGTGACTTATTACAGACCTCATTCTTCAGAGTGCCCTGACAGTGGCTGCTGCCTTGATAACAGCACACAAGCAGCACAGCAGCAGCCACATCCTTCTGGGGGGCAGCACCAGAAAGCTTGTGGGAAGCCTGAGCTGAGCTCAAATCAGCTGTCTCTGTACGGTTCCCAGAAGTTCTGGCCATAAAACAGCCATCTACCTGGACCATGCTCCACTCAGCTCTCTAATCCCTCCCTCTATCCCAGAAAACGTGTCTAAATCTTTATAGACAGCCTCTGTGACTCATCTAAGGTGCTTTCCCCCGCCTCTCTCGGTGGGTCTGGGGGTGAGTTAGAGGGCCCTGTTTTGCCCAGATTTCTCAGCTTTCAGAAATAAACAAAACTGGGACTTAAGGTGATGTTCCTCTCTTCCTAGGAGGTACCAGAGGCTCTATGCCAAGGTTAACGTTCAATAAACAGATAAAAGAAAATTGTACTTCTTGGACATTTTAGATACTGGTGCACAGTTGACTATGACCTGTGTGATCCCGAACACTAAGATGAGGGAAAAATAGATAATGCTTGCTGGTTTGGAGTCTGAGGCAACCACCACTGTTAAGAAAAAAATTTATGATACTTACTAAAGATGTACAGTAAGGAAGACTTTATTTAAAGAGTAGAAGAGATTGAACTCAACTGTAAATACAGCAAGTTCTCACTTAACATCACTGAGAGGTTTTTGGAAATGGTGACTTTAAGTGAAACAACATACAACAGATCCTCAATGTCATTTTGTTCAACTACGTTTTGTTCTAACATTGATGAAAAAAAGAAAATTGTTTTCTTTAGATGTCATTTCACTTAGACCTGCAGTTTCCAAGAACCTATAAACAACCTTAAGTGAGGGCTTACTGCACAATAAACCAAGGTGCAGAGTAGGGGATCAGTGGATTAAAAAACTACTAAGAGGTAGGGTAATTTTTTGCTAAACTGACCTAATAGAATTTTTGCTGAAGGCAGGCCAGAGTGTTAAGATATCAAGGATGGTCAGACCAAGGGTGAGGAATTTTTGATAAACTGACTCAACAAGATTTTTTGTAAAACTGGATGATGCAGAGAAGAACACAAAAGATCAAAAGTCAGGGCCCAGTTGAGAAAAGATTTCAGAGGAGCCTGACAGGAGTATGGTTAAGAAGAGAATATTTGTCACCACCCAGATTTGCCAAAGCTTGATTATGGGTGGATATCTTCACGCCCCTGTAGCCTTTACTGCTATGGCTCCTGCTGTTGAACGTATTATTGGTACTGGCTAATTGTCTATTTGCACCTCTGCTAGTCTTAACCCCTAAACCATAATGGGAATTGCCGCTGTTAGGTACATCATTTTAGCAGGGCATGTTGCAAGACTGTAAACCTACCCGACTATAGCCAGGTATAGCCTGAGCTATAGCTAACGATGTGATCATTTTAGTAGGTCTTGGACTGGAATATAAAACGAGCTCCTTCAGTGGATATTTGGATAAAGCAAATTTGGATAAAATCAGTTCTCTTCCTAATAAATTTTATTACCCATGTAGATGCTCACTAGAGAGATCTCTACACTTGACAAAAAAAAAAAAAAAAAAAAGACAAAAACAAACAAACAAACAAAGTCATCAACCAGCAGACCAGGCTTGTCAACCAAACATGGAGAATAAACTAAGTTTTTCTCCACTCCAGAATTAAAAAGCAAAAACTACATGATCATTTAAATAAATGCAGAAAAAGCTGTCAATAAAGTCTAACGTTCCTTCATGATAAAAACCCTGAACAGATTTGGCATCAAAGAAACATATCTCAAAATAATAAGGGCCATCTATAGAAACCCCACAGCCAACATTATACTGAATGGGCAGAAGTTGGAAGCATTTCCTTTGAAAACTGGAACAAGATAAAGATGGCTATTTCAGGACTCCTATTTGACGTTAATACTGGAAGTCCTAGCCAGAGAAGTCAGACAAGACAAAGAAATAAAATGAATTCAAATAGGAAAAGAAGTCAAATTATCTTTCTTCACTGATGATGTGATTGCATACTATGAAACCCTTAAGACTTGGCCAAAAGGCTACTGGAACTGACAAATAATTTTAGCAAGATTTCAGGATACAAAACCAACGTACAAAAATCGGTGACATTTCTATACAACAACAATATCCAGGTTGAGAGTCACATTACTAACACAATCCCATTTACAATAGCCACAAAGAAAATAAAATACCTTGGAATACAGCTAAGCAAAGAGGTGAAAGATGTCCACAAGGAGAGCTACAAAACATTGCGGATAGAAATCAGCAGATTTCAAGAGATGACACAAATAAATGGAAAAACATTCTATGCTCATGGATTGGAAGAATAATGTCATTGAAATTGCCACACTCCCCGAATAAATTTACAGATTTAACACTATTCCCATCAAACTACCAACATCTTTCTTCACAGAATAGCCAAAGAAATTCTAAGCAAAAAAAATAAAGTTGGAGGCATCACGTAATCTGACTTCTAACTACATAATAAGGCTGCAGTAACCAAAACAGCATGGTACTGGCACAAAAATGGATACATAGATCAATGGAACCAAATAGAAAACTCAGAAATAAAGCCACACACCAACAACCATCTGATCTTCAACAAAGGCTGACAGAAAAAACAAGTAATGAGAAAGAACTCCTTATTCAATAATGTGTTGGGATAACTGGTGGCTAGCCATGTGCAGGAGAATGAAACTAGACACTTAACTTTTACCATATAAAAAATTAATTCAAGATGGATTAAAGGCTGGGTGCCATGGCTCTTGCTTATAATCCCAGCACTTTGGGAGGCTTAGGCAGGAGGATTGCTTGAGCCCAGGAGTTTCAGACCAGCCTGGGCAACATAACAAGACCCCATCTCTACAAAAAATTTAAAAATTAGTCAGAGTTGGTATCATGCACCTGTAGTCCAAGCTACTCGGGAAACTGAGGTAGGAGGATCACTCAAACCTGGGAGGTTGAGGCCGCAGAGAGCTGTAATTGTACCATTGAACTCTAGCCTGAGTGACAGAGAAAGACCCTTTCTCAAAAAAAGAGGAAATAAAGATTTAAATGTAAGATCTCAAACTATTAATATCCTAGAAGAAAACTAAAGAAATACCCTTGTTGACATCAGCGTTGGCAAAAAATTGTTGGCTAAGTCCCACAAAACAATTGTAACAAAACAAAAATTGACAAGTGGGACCTACAGAGCTTCTGCACAGCAAAAGAAACTGTCAATGGAGTAAGCAGGCAACCTGCAGAATGGGAGAAAATATTTGCAAACTATGGATCTGAGAAAGGTCTAGTACCCAAAATCCATAATGAATTTAAACAAATCAACAAGCAAAAAACAAATAACCAAAATAAAAAGGGGCAAAAGACGTGCACAGATACTTCTCAAAATAATACATACAAGCAGCCAACAAGCATATGAAAAAATGCTCAATATCACTAATTATCAGAGAAATACATATCAAAACCACAATGAGATACCACCTCACAGTCATCTGAATGGCTATTCTTAAAAAGTCCAAAAGCAAAAAACAAAAACAAAAACAAAACAAAACAAAAAAAAACAAAAAAAGCCCCAGCAGATCTGACAAGGCTGCAGAGAAAGGAGAACATTTGTATGCTGTTGGTGGGAATGTAAATTAGTTCAGCCACTGTGGAAAACAGCTTGGAGATTTCTCAAAGAATTTAAAACAGAGCTACCATTGGACCCAGCAATCCCATTACTGTGTATACACTCAAAAGGAAAATATATCATTATACCAAAAAGACACATGCATTCAAATGTTCATTGCTGTGCTATTTATAATAGCAGACATGTAATCAACCTAGGTACCTATCAATGGTAGATTAGATAAAGAAAATGTGGAATACTATGCAGCCATAAGAAATGATGATATCATGTCCTTTGCAGCAACATGAGCTGGATGCTATACTCCGAAGCAAATTAATGCAAGAACAGAAAACTAAATGCTGCATGTTCTTCCTTATAAGTGGGAGGCCAGCACTGAGCACACATTTACATAAATAAGGAAACAATAGACACTGTGGACTACTAGAGGGGGCAGGGAGCGGGGGACATATGAGCTGAAAAACTACCTGTTGGGTACTACACTCCCACCTGGGTGCAATATGCCAAGTAGCAAACCTGCATATGTGTCCCCTTTATCTAAAATAAATGTTTAATTAAAAAAAATTAGAGCAATAAGTGTGGAAAATATATTTTACAAATGATGAAACTATGCAGAATAATGTCCTCCAGTAGAAATGCTCATCTAAAACCCCAGAACCTGTGATTATGTTGGGTTACATGGCAAAAGAGAATCATCAGATGAAATTTAGATGAAAGTAATTGATAAACCTTAAACTAATGTATAAACCAGAGATTATCCTGGTTTATTGGATGGCTCAGATACAATCATAAGAGTTTTTAAAAGCAGAAGAGGCCTGTAGTCCCAGCTACTCAGGAGGCTGAGGCAGGAGAATCACTTAAACCCTGGAGGTAGAGGTTGCAGCGAGCCAAGATCACACCACTGCACTCCAGCCTGGGCGACAGAGCGAGACTCCATCACAAAAAAAAAAAAAAAAAAAAAAAAAAAAAACAAAAAAAAAAACAGCAGAAGAGGAAGTGGGAATGAGGAAGTCAGTGGAAAATATGACTTAAAATGTGGCAGAAATGTAGAAGTAACATTGCTGACTTTGAAGAAGAAAGAAAGGAGCTTCTAGAGGTTGGAAAAGCAAGGAATCAAATTTTCTTCTAGTGTTTTCCAAAAGACATACAGTTTTCCATACACCTTGCTTTTAGTCCAATGAGACTCATGCCAGACTCCTGAACTACAAAACTATAGTTCATGATACATTTGTGTCATTTTAAGCTGTGAAGTTTGTGGTAATTTTTTATAGTGAGTATAGGACGCTAATATATTCTGCTTCTAAAAACGGGAGGTATTTGTATGTTTTAAGAACATATGAACATTTTAATCCATTATTGAGGAAACGAAAAGAGGCTATATTAATGAGAAGATATGTGATATTTAAAATATTTATACTATGAATATACAGTATTATAAACATATCAAATATTTCTATATTGACAAAAAGATTCAATGCAATCTAAAAGCTTGTGTGTGTGTGTGTGTGTGTGTGTGTGTGTGTGTGTGTTGCCAATTAAGAACTGCTTATGAAACTTTCTTGGCAATGCTAAGTACCAAGAATGGCTAAAAAATAAATAAAAATAAATAATTGGAGGGTTTACCTTCCAAAATCAAGTATATAGAAAATCTCAGTTGTATTTGTATAGTATTGGTGCAAGTTTACACAAATACACTAATTAAAGAATACTGAACATACAGAAAACTTCTTATGCTTTTGAAAATTCTATCTGAACTGACTGAGTTTGATTTGTCTTAGGCTGAATCCCCTAGGAATCTGATATCCACAGGTTACTACTGAAACCCCAAGATACATTCCATCTCAAGGGAAAATAGTTAATACGGTTAGTCCTATCCCTTTTGTGGGAATAGAAAATAGAGGGGCTCTGATAACCTATCATCTTCTGGGAACATGAGAAAATGCATAAATATTTTCATTTTACCCCTTAATAGAATTTTCATCAGCCTAAAGCTTTTACTTGCATCCTTCTAAATAGACACTTCCTACTAACCCTGTGAACCAGAAGAGAAGAGAGCCCAGTAAGTAGAAAACTGCCGGCAATTAACAAGAAGAAAAACCCTACACTGGCTCTTTGATTTTATAAAATAACAGAGACTTTACTTTAATCAATGTTCAAATAGAGGTTGTGTCCTAGAGGACATGGCCCTGGGAGAAATAGGTTTTTATGACACCAATGATTCTATAATAAGGAGATAAATAATGGTAAGAGAATATTGATTTCACGTGTAGACCAGCTAATGTGACCAGTGCTGCAAAAGGTAACTCAGAAGAAAAGAGGGACTGGGTGTTGTGGTGCATCCCTTTAATCCCAGCATTTTGGGAGGTTGAGGTGGGTGGATTGCACCAGCTCAGGAGTTTGAGACTAGCCTGGGCCACATGGTGAGACCTCGTCTCTAAAAAAATACAACAATTTTCTAGGCATAGTGATACATATCTGTAGCCCCAGCTACTCGGGAGGCTGAGATGGGAGGATCGCTTGAGCCTGGGAGACAGAGGCTGCAGTGAGCTAAAAGAGCTCTTTGGGTAGAAGAAATGAGATCAGAGTAGGATTTGACTGAACCAACAAACCTTAGTTTGGATGTTTTCTTTTGGCTTTCCTTCATAGTTTTAATAACTAGTTATTAATTTTTGTCACCTTTAAATGTATCCCCTGTAACCCCAGTGAAAGGTGCTTCCTGTCTGGAGGCAGTGAATCAGTGCTCCAAGAATCTGAGCTGCAAATTAGCATAAATTATAGAGACATTTTGGTTTTTTTCACAGTTTGTTTTAGTCTACTACTTTTTAGACCACAAGAGATCATGTGACCACCAATTTAGGGAGGACTTCATGAAGACTCCACTGCTATGTGTTATCCCCATAAGCTGCATGCCAGTAGGAGTTCAGTCTGAATCAGACCAGGAGATGTAACTTGGAACAGACTTTCATTCAGAGGATTGACTTTTGGCAGTGAGAGCTAGTCACATGTCTCCTAGGAAAATATAATACGCCCACTTCAGCTAATTAATGACTGTCAGGGACAAAATTAAGGGAGGGAAGCTCACCTATGTAAAGCTTTGACTAGGGACTTGGCAGATGTCACTAAATCCTACTTGGGTTGATCTACTCTTCCTTATGAAGAAGGCTACAGATCGTCACCAAACAATAATACAGAGCTGGCGTGATATTGCACAAAATCCACTCTTTCCTTAAAAGCTTTTTGAAGGACTTTGTAAATTTGTTGGGGAAGGTAAGACCCAAACCATGGCTTATGTTCTGGGGTGCCTCTCTAATGTTGCGGTTCCCGGTATCATGACCCTGATTCTCTTTCCTTTTCAAAAGTACTCTATAAAATAGGTCACACTAGCAAAGTTAAAACTCAAAGGGTGTTTTCAATGCAAAAGCTGCCTTCAAGAGTGGGCTCTGTTTAGTACAAAGCTGGAGATTCTCACAGATGAGGTCCAAGCACTGGCAAGCCAGAACTGAAAACACTGGGGTAAAACTTCTTTTATTATTCTTTATTTCATCTTTAGAAGGTATGAATCTGCTCTGCTAGACTTTGCCTAGGACTAATTCCCTTGGTGTTTTCTGTTATGAAGGCATTGTCAGACTCATGGAGAGGTAAAGTGGTCTCCTTTACTAACATCAGAGATCCTCCAGAGTTTAGGACATTGACTTTGAAGTCATAAATTATGCTTTGAACTCACCGCTCTCTGCTTGAGTCAGAGTAATGTTGTTCACTTGTCCCTTGTGTTTTCTGATACATACATTTTCTCATATTAACGTTCCAGTAAACATGTGCTCTGAACCATATTTCAATCCCTCTGAAATGAAACTCTACCAAAACACACAGCATTGGAATCTGCCTTTTCTTTTTTCTTCCCTTTTTATTGATTTTTCTTTTGTTTTATGCACATTCTTCAGTTTATCAGACCCATTGTCTGAAACATGTTTGCTCTATAAAAGTCAATTGCTCCCCTTTTCTCAAAACTCATTGTCATCCAGCTTGATATTTTAAATATTTTTATTATTCTCTCTCTCCCTTCCGTGTCTCCCTACTCCTTTTCCTTATACTTGTTTTTTTCCTGTCTTTAAAACCTGAATCTATCCTTAATAATCTGCATTGAAAAAGAAAACCGGTTAATTATGTTTAATCATATGAAATTGCTGACCTACAAAAATAAAACTATTTCATAGATTTATTAGTAAATATCTAAAGAAATGAGGTGGGTCATATGCCAAAGAGAAGGGCAAATGAAGGGTCTGAGGCCAAGAGAAGGGTTAGTTTTAGAGGTGCCAGCTCTTCCTGGGACAGGAGGTGCTTCAGTGTGGTTACACTGGATGTGACAGTTGCAGCCCCCAACAATGTTCCACACTGGCGGGGAACTGTAGGTTTCGTAGCCCATTCTGACAGTTGGTTTGTCCTCAGGGCTCAAGAACCAGTGGATCCCAGACTGAAGAGACCATGTATAACTTGAGTTGTTATAACCCCAGTTCCTTTATCTTTGTTGGAATACCTGGCCTGGAGAAGTTCCACATATGGATTGGGATTCCCTTTTGTGTCATCTATGTTGTGGCTGTTGTGGGCAATTGCATCCTTCTCTACCTCATTGCAGTTGAACACAGCCTTCATGAGCCCATGTTTTTCTTCCTCTCTATGCTGGCCACCACAGACCTCATCTTGTCCACTGCCACAGTGCCCAAACTGCTCAGTAACTTCTGGATTGGCTCCCAAGAAATAACCTTTTCTGGTTGTCTAACTCAGATGTTCTTCCTCCACTTCAGCTTTGTGGTGGACTCAGCCATCCTGCTGGCCATGGCATTTGATCGCTATGTGGCCATCTGCTTCCCCTTGAGATATACCACCATCCTGACTCCGCAAGTGATTATCAAGCTTATGGTGAGCATTGTTGTGAGAAGCTTCTCCATCATCCTACCAGATGTTTTTCTGCTAAAACGGTTACCCTTTTGCAGGACACATATCATCCCTCACACCTACTGTGAGCACATAGGTGTTGCTCAGCTTTCATCTGCAGACATCTCCATCAACATCTGGTATGGGTTTGCTGTATCTCTCATGACTGTCATCTCAGATGTGATCTTCATTGCTGTTTCCTATGCCTTCATCCTTTGTGCTGTATTCCAACTCTCATCCCAGGGTGCCCGCCAAAAAGCCCTCAGCACCTGTGGTTCCCATGTCTGTGTCATCCTCATGTTTTACACCCCTGCCTTCTTCTCCATCCTTGCTCATCGCTTTGGGCACAGTGTTCCTCAAAATGTGCTTATCCTGTTTGCCAACCTCTATGTGGCCATCCCTCCTGCTCTAAATCCTATTGTTTATGGAGTGAAGACAAAGCAGACACAGGACAAATTTATTCTCCTCTTCTCTTTGAAGAAGTCACAATGAGTGGACACTGAAGGAAAAATGTATGTAAAATTGATTTGGTGAAATTTTGTGTAACATAGGGCAGCATAAAGATAAAGCTGTAACTCTTATTAATTTGAAATTTCAACATTCTACCTATGTGCAAAGTATAGGCAAGAGGGAGAGGGGAGAGAGAAAAATCTTATAAACTTCTAGAAAATAAAGGACTTCTTTGGTTTAGTTTTTTTCACCACTTGTGTGAAGAAGCTGACGACGAATACAGTAGAGCACTAAAACTAAAGCTTATATCTTTCCTAATGCTAATCTTAGTATATTTGAAGGATGCATATTTTCTAACATGGAAATGCACCCCCGTGTTTCTCAGCTTATGAATTAAAGGTAAAGCCTCTTGCCTTCCCTTGTTAAGTAGTTATCAATCCTCTCTACTATAATTCTCAAACATATGGCTTCACACTTCTTTAGTCCAGATTCTATACATTATTAATGCTTCCTTCTGTGCCCTTTACTTTCTCCCCTTATCCATCTCTTATTACATAGAGTTGCTTATATTTTGTGTATTTAATTGTATGTTCCAAGAAAATTCCAACCTTGGTTTTTCATAACCCTAGACCTGTATTTTATAAGTATTTATATATTTAATTAAGAAAATAATTATGAGAGGGTAATATTAGTTAATTTGGTTTACAGATGAGGAAGCCAAAACATAAAGATTGCAGAAAGGTAATTAATAGATCTACAGGATCTAAATCCAGGTCTGAATGATTCCAGACTCAACTCCTTAGCCAATAACTTCCTGGGTATCTACTCACAAAAATGGTTTTCAAGCTTCTTAAACTTAATTTCTCCAAAATTTGCATAGAAATGTACTATCTTCCTCTCTCTAAAAAAAAAAAAAATAAATAAAAATAAAAAAACTCTTTCTTTTCTGTCTTCCTAAATGACACTATCAAAAACAGAAGTTTCCAAGCAAGAAATCTATCATTTATTCTTTATTTCTCCTAAATTACTCTCAAAGAAAATTAAGTCAACGTTAGGTCTATGATTTGAGTCTGAGGTGGTTATAAGTTATTCCAGTGGATACATTCATAACATTCTTACCTTTATTATGGCTGTTGAGCTTGACTGGGCTCTAATCTATTATCTGTCTCTCCGAAAGTATTCCAAAATCCTTTTGAAGGGGTTCCACTCTTGCTCCATCCAATCCACTTTCTCTATAAAAGCCAGAGTGATCATTTTACAATTCACATATGATTATGACACTTTGTACCTTGAAACTCTTCAATGGTTCCATTGTCCTCAGCGTCATGCATAAGTACTGTCCTTCCTTAGGGTCATTGTAGGGAATGCAAGACTTGAATGAAAAGAGCGACCTTCTGTAAAACTAACAGCTTTGCACTTTATTTACATTTATTTATATTTTATTTTTGTTTATTTACACTTTATTTGCACTCCCCTGACTCTTAGAGAGAATAATTCCAGAAGTGATATTTTTCTTTTATGTTATCATATTCAGTGTCCTGTTTTTGTTTTTGTTTTGTTTTACATAAAATAAAACTTGGTGTGGGTGGAGAATGTGTTGGGTGGAGTTGGGTAGGATTTATTCAAGCTCCTGTTAGGAAACTATCCCAAGATAACAACACCTATTTCTTAAGATCTCCACTGCAAAAGAAGACATACATTGCATATTAAATTACTTGAGAGGAAGAAGTAAAGAGTAAAATGGGTATTCTGAGATAAGATCCTGTGTGTATGTGAGTGTATGATATGTGTGTGTGTGTGGTATATGTTGATATTTTCTTTGCTTCTGTAATGCCCTGTAGCCAGAAAAGACACATGTAGAGGCTGCTTCATTTATGCCACTATTAAAAATTGGCATATTTATTTGCTTATATTTTTATCTGCCCACAGCTATGTTATTGATGCAGAATTTTTCTCAGCCACTTTTGCCAGCTGGGGACCTCTGGATGGTGATGCCCCTGCCCAGGCCTTGCTCAGGCCAAGGTTTGCCGCAGAAGATGCCCCATATATTCAGTCTGCTGGGCCATTCCCGGCCTACACTCTGGTGCAAATCCCACAGTGGTTGTGACTGTGCACTCAGTCCCTGGCAGGAGAGGGTGGGTGAGCGAGAAAGTGTGGGGTCTGGCCAGCTGTTCTGAGTGCCAGCACAGTAGCAGGGTCTGTGCAGGGCTTGCAGCCAGACCAGGGACCAGGAGTGTCACAAGCTACTCTTGCGGTGGACTTTAGCATCCAGACAAAGGGAATGTGGTGGCAACTAGGCAAGGGTGTCCATGACCCTGAAGCCTCAGAGGGGATGTTATAGTGTGCTAATTAGCTCTTTTAGTACTGTTGTCTGCAGCCTGATGAATGGCAGCACTTTAACAGCTCTGTCAGCCCCTTACCTTGCTCCAGCCCACGACTCTGGGTCTAATTTGGCCCTGCTACTGCTTCCTGTTGCATGGGGTGGCTTCCCTCTGCCAGCAGAGGGCAGAGGGCCACAGTTCTTACAGCCTCCAATATACCTACATTCAGTGGGTCCCAAGTTTTTGTACCATGTCCAAGAAGAATGAGATCACACTGACAATAAATGGGTGAAGAGGTCAGGGAAGAATTTTACTGAGCAACAAAATAGCTCTCAGCAGAGCAGGGACATAAGGGTGGTCTCCCACCAGAAGTCACATGGTTTCTCTCTCTGTGTGGCTGGATCTGAGGCTTTTATGGGATCAGAATGGGCAGTGCATGCTGATTGGTTTGTGAGTATGCAGAAAAGGCTAAAACAAAAGCACCACTCAAAGGTGGGCACAACAGTGTAAAAAACTAATTAGGGAAGGGAAGGTATATGTAAAATAGGTGAAGGGTGAGGATCAATCAGAGGAAAGTGTGCCATATGGAAAGAGAGGTTCTCAATCCAGTTGTGGACTTACCCAGGATTTTTAGCTTGGCTTTCAGGCTTTAAGCTGTCTTTGGTTTGAAGGTAGGGTTTCACCAGGGACCTGCCCCTGTCTGTCTAGGATTTGTCTGCCTCCTGCTGCCATCATTATGAGCTCCTCGAAGGCAGAAACTTAGTCTTAGGCACCTTCTTACACCCTGTCCAATGAAAATACCTGCCAAACCATGTGATTTCAGTATGTTTCATACATATTCAAACTACATCAGAAATGTATTCCTTCAAGCTGTCATCCTAACTTTTTCTTTCTTCCTTTTCTAGCCAGCTTAGATTCCAGAATGCATTGAGTCATTGTCTTATGTCCTAAACTTCCCTGTCTCTTCTACACACTCAGTTGAAAAAGTATTCCTAAAATCTTGATAAAGTTAGTTCTGTGTTTTGGAGAAGATGGCAAAAGTGACCACAAACTGTTACTACTGCAAGTGAATTACAATAGTACAGCTGTCATACTTGCCTGGTTTCAGCTTCTCAAATAAACCAAATGTTTCCTTGCTTATTCTCTTTACTATTCTTTGCTTGACAACTCATGTTTAGGCTTCAGTTAAAATTCCTTCCTCAGATATTCCTTCTTTAATCCTGCACACTAGATTAGTATCACTTGCATATGTTTTCATGACACAATGTAGTTTTTATTTTAGGACTATTCACAACTTGAATAAGGTGATAACTTATACTCTTAGTTTTTAGTGTTTATCCCTTTCATTAGGTCATTGAAGACCAGTTTAGTGTCCACCTTGTTTATCACTGTTTTCTCAGCACCTGTAAAGTTTTTAGCACATGTAAGTGCTCAATAAGTACTTGCTGAATAGATGGGTTGAAACAAATGAGTTTTAATTAATTCATGAAATCCCTATTTTCCATGGTAAGAATCTGCCTGAATTTGTAACTCAGCCTAATCAGAAAGATAATTCTGAAGAGTCAACGAGAAAGGTTTATTTTCTTCATAGAAAGTTGATAATTGTTATTTCACTTATTCCTTGATCCTTGTCTATAATCATTTCCAAGTAATTTTCTTTTTCACAGTTGTGGAAACTAGTTTTCAAAACAGTTAAGTATTTTGCTATAGCACAAGTGAAGGGATAAGGAAAACAAGGAAAAAATTCTAGATTTTTTGACACTTGACTTGGAAATTAGATTCCTCGTTGGACTTATGGGAGGCTGTGTTTAGAGTTTTCCTAAGTACTCATGTTGGATCTATAATTTTTAGTCCTGTATGTAATTTACCCCATACCAATAGACTACTAATCTGTACTCTAAATAATGGATTAAAAACAAAGTTGATGTTGATTCAGCACTGAAGAAAGAGAATTACCAAGCAAGTCTGGCCATTGAGGAAAGTATCAGAAAAGGGAGGCCTCTGAATACCTGGGGGGATGGCAGCCTCAATGAGAAATATTTTCAGGATTTTGTCGTCTAAGGTTAGAGGGGGATTCCTTTTAATTCAACAGGCATTTGTTCATTACCCACTATGAAGTAATCTCTTCCAAGGATTGAGAAAATAAAACATTCCCTGCACAAGAAGTTTTAGGAGCGTTAGCCTAAGTCCAGGGACATGACAAACCCAATTCTTGCAAAGTTTCTTTATCAAGTTGCTGATCGAGCTAGATAAAAACCTTGCTGAGATTCAGTACGCTACTGTTGTGGCTCAGAACATGATAACTCAAAGTATGGTATCTTGGCACCTTGAGTGCTTTGAACTGAAGGAGATCGAGATTGGAAGGGCCTCCCAAGCAAGATGTCTTGTCTTACTTTCTTCCACCCTCTTTTCTCCTTCTCTCTTTCTCCCTCAAAGCAGGTCATGGAAACTAGACTTACTTACTTATTCCCCAAGGCATGTCATAGAAACTAGAACTCATCTCCCTCAAAGCAAGCCATAAAACCTAGAGAAGTCACTCTCTGATCTACCTCCACTGAAAGTAGTCTATAGACCCATATTCCAGAGGGTCTTGCCCCATAACTGGAGTGAAGGAGGGAAAGGGCTTCTCTACACAGAGAAGCCAAGAAGAATCTGAACAAATAGATCTTGCTAAGTTCTCCTTAGTTTGTTACCATTAGATCATACCCTTTTAGTCCAATCACATTTCTACACAGCCCTCCATCTTTCTTTGAACCTAAGCATTAAAAAAAACCCTGGGTTTTGGGGTTTTTATATTTGATGTCTCCTGTGTCATGTAAAACTTTGATTAAATCAATTTATTATACTTTTGTTAATCAGTCTTTTGTCATAGGGGTGTTGGCCATGGACCTTGAATAGACGAGGAAAGGGTATAACACCTTTTTACCCTTACACTACTTTCTTAGATTCAAAAATTCCCAATTCACCACTAATAAGAGCAGAAGTATAGATTTTTAAGATGAGAAAGTGTTAATTTGGTTGAATCCTTGCTCATATCCTAGACTAACTTGGGGCCTTGGGACCTATAGATCCCCTGGCTCAGAGGCCCTCTGACCTAACCTGTCTCTAATCCCTGGAGAACACGAGGGGTGTACTTTTGTATGTCACTCCTGTAGGCTCTGTGTTAGTTCTTCCCTACTACAAGCATGATCCTATGTCTATCCCTTTTGTTCTGTGTCTGTCCTTCCTGAGCCTGGGACTACTTCTCCTGTCCTTTGGTCTGTATATTGCCAGCTGTGCTTCCACACACCCTACTTTTTATCCTGCTTTTTGCAAAATCCAGTTCCAGCACCAAGGCCTCCAAGGTATCAGTTGGTGGAGAATAGTGAGGAACTATTTGGTAGTGAAGCTGGTGGGGAGTAGAGCAGATGAGAAATAGATCTGGTGAAGAGGACAGAAGGAGTTGGAAAAGGGTGGGCTCCAAAAAAAGGAAAGGCCAAGATTAAAACTTTGAAAGTAGTTTTTAGATCCAACAGTTATTGTAAGAGACTACAGAAAAAGAGAAGTATCTACTTGGAGCTTCCTTCTGAGCCTCCCCCTCTGCTCTCTTCAAAATGTTTTCAAGTTGGCAGGGTGAGGTTGCTCACGCCTATAATCCCAGCACTTTGGAAGGCTGAGGTGGGCGGATCATGAGGTCAGGAGTTCAAGACCAGCCTGGCTAAGATGGTGAAACCCCCGTCTCTACTAAAAATACAAAAAAATTAGCCAGGCATGGTGGCGGGCACCTGTAATCCCAGCTACTCGGGAGGCTGAGGCAGAGAATTACTTGAACCCAGGAGGCAGACATTGCAGTGAGCCAAGATCACGCCACTGCACTCTAGCCTGGGCGACAGAGTGAAACTCCGTCTCAAAAAAAAAACAAAAACAAAAACAAAACAAAAAAGCTATAATTGTTTAATAATAGATATAATTGTCCCATATAAGCACCATTTAGAGGGAGGTAGTCTCTGACAAGTTTTTCTTTTTGTTTCATATATAGGTCTATTTAGGTTTTCTTATTATTCATAAATTATATTTGTTATTTTTAAGTTTCCTTAATATCACTAATTTTAATTCAATTGTTAAAACATTAAAATTGCTTTGTAAAATACCATCATTGTTAGAAAATATATTTTTCATTATTAGAAATTATATTTTTGTCTTTTTATCTGAATTTTAATCATTGTATTTATGTAATTTACTTGTGACATTAGAGATTCAATTCCACTAATTACAATTGACACTTTTTTCTTTTTAAAACAATTGATTTCCATTTTTGGATATTTAGTATATTTATATTATTTATTATTAAATCAGTAATGTGATTAAGATTACAATTTTGCATCTTATGCAGCTTCTATTAATTTTTGAAGTAATGCCATTTAGTGTGATAATTCGGGCTTTTTTTCAGTCTATATTTACAGTTCTGCCTTTCTACCTAACTTAGCATTTGTTACTTATTTATTTACCTCAACATATTTCTTAAAAACCTTATCCTCATATAGCTCTCAGATAGATACTCTTTTTTAATACAATGTGAAAGTTTTCTTGTGATTTGATTTACATGTTTTTTTGATTCATGAGGAATTTTATGGTATTTAGCATAAACTATTGACCTAGCTACATTTTTTCTATAAACAATACTGAATTATTTCTATGCTATTTGTAGAATAATCCAGTACTTTTAAATTTTTACAATTTAATTTTGATTCTTTCAATTACTACAATATGATAAAAATTACAGCCAATTTTGGAGCTGTATATTTTGCTCTTTGAGTATATTTATTCTTTTTTTCACACTTCACCTTCTTTAATGAACTTGTGGCTTTCATTTCTTTCTCTGATAGTGTTAGGGTGCTATCACCTTTAATCATCTTCCAGCATTTCTTACTAAATGTTTACATGGACTCATTTTTTTTGGATTCTCTATATTGAATCTGCTATTATAATCTAATGCTTCTTATTCACATTTTTAGAGTAATGACACTTTTATTATATATTTAAGATGTACAACATATTGTTTTCTCATATTTTTAGTTGGCACAATAATTGTATAATACTATTTATGAGTACAGAATAATAATATTCTGATACAATGTATAATGATGTAATCCGGGTGATTAGAGTATCTAGAACCTTAAATATTTAAAATTCACTTGTGTAGGAAACATTCAAAATCCTCTCTTCTAGCTTTTTGAACTGTACAATAAATTATTGTTAATATATTCACCCTACAGTGATGTAGGACTCTAGAATTTATTCCTTTTATCTAGCTGTAATTTTGTAACTGTTAACCAGTCTCTCCTTATCTTCCCCTTCCTTTATCTACCCTTCCCAGTTTCTGATAACCATAATTCTACTCTCTGCTTCTGTGAGCTCTTTGTGCTTAGCTGCCACATGTGGATGAGAACATGCAGGATTTACCTTTTTATGCCTGACTTATTTTACTTAACATAGTAATGTTCAGGTTCACCCATGTTGCCATAAATGACAAGATTTCATTTTTTTATGATTGAATAGTATTTCATTGTACATACATACACAATTTTAAAAATCTTTGTTGTTAGGCACTTAGGTTGATTACCTATCTTGGCTATTATGAACAGTGCTGCAATAAACATGAGGGTACAAATGTGTCTTCGATATACTGATTTCCTTTCCTTTGGATAAATACCCAGTAGTGAGATTACTCAATCATATGATAGTTCTATTTTTAGTTTTTTGAGGACCCTCCACGGTTTTCTATAATGGCTATATTAATTTACAGTCTTACCAACATCTTCACCAGCATTTGTTATTTTTGATTTTTTGATAATTGCCATTCGAACTAGGGTAAGATTATACCTCATTGTAGTTTTGATTTGCATGTCCCTTATGATTAATCATGTTGAGGATTTTTTTCATATACTTGTTGACTTTTTTTTCTTTTTAATCTTTTTTTTTCTTTAGGTGGAGCCTCACTTTGTCACTCAGGCTGGAGTGCAATGAGGCGTTCTTGGTTCACTGCAACTGCCACCTCCTGGGTTCAAGTGATTCTTCTGCTTCAGTCTCCAGAGTAGCTGGAACTACAGGTGACTGCCACCACACTCAGCTAATTTTTTTGCATATTTAGTAGAGACAGGTTTCTACATGTTGGCCAGGCTTGTCTCAAACTCTCAAGTTCACTTGTCTTGACCTCAAGTGATCTGCCCACCTTGGCCTCTCAAAGTGCTGGCATTACAGGCATGAGCCACCGTATCAGGCCATATTGTTTTTTTTGAAAGAAAAAAAGTACAATTATTTTATTTGCACTTGATATGATCTTAGGTTCAGAAGATTATAAGAAATTTACTAAAAGTTATTAGGAATAATAAATACGTTCCGTACAGTAACAGGATACAAAGTCAATGTAAAAATCAATTGTATTGCTGAACACAAAAAATAAATAATAAAAATAGCCTTAAAAATTCTAGTTACAACAGCATCAAAAGCAAAATACTTAAGAATAACCTCAACAAAAGTGTCAACTTGAACACTGAAAATTCCAACATGAACTTGTGGCTTTCGTTTCTTTCTCTGATAGTGTTAGGGTGCTATAACCTGGCTAGTGTTAGAAACACCGGATATCATCCCTGAGACTCCCTTCTTTGACTTTGGTAACTTGGCATTCCTAGGGGAAAAAATGAATTGCATTCTAGGCCTTTATATTATTAGAGGTGGGTTTTAAAAAAAAAAATCTTAACCTGTTCTTTGTTCTTCAGACGTAATAAAGACCATGCAGTTTGTGTGTATGCCTCAGATTGCAATTCTTTCTTCTCAAATAAAATGTTACATTTAGAGATTCATTTCTACATTTCAATTTTGACTTTGGTGTATGTGGTGTCAGAAGTAGGATGCAGCTGGGTGTGGTGGCTCACACCTGTAATCCCAGCCATTTAGGAGGCTGAGGAGGAAGGATTGCTTGAGGATGGGAGTTCAAGACTAACCTGGGCAACATAGAGAGACACTTTCTCTGTAAATTTTTTAAAAAAGTTAGCTGGGTGTAATGGGACACACTTGCTGTTTTAGCTACTCACTGAGGTGGAAGGATCACTTGAGGCTAGGAGTTTGAGGGTACAATGAGCGATGAGTGTTCCACTGTACTCTAGCCTAAATTACAGAGTGAGACCCTGTCTCAAAACAAAAACAAAAACCAAAAACAAAAAAGTGGAAATTCAAAGCTAATTCAACTTCAGGAGAAACACCAGTCCCTGCAACTGTGGCATGAGATACACATGTTGGGCTCCACAGTCTGCCTGTTTTACCCACAGAGAGTCTTGGACAGAACTTCCAAATTTGGTTTAAGTTATGTTTTATTTGGCATTTGTTTGGGGAGGGGTCTTGCCCTCTTTTGTTTGAAGAGAGATTGTTCCCCCACCTGTTTAGAAAATCACTTACTGGGGACTTGTTGATTATTTGTATATCTTCTTTTGAGAAATGTTTATTCAGATCTTTTGCCCATTTATACATGTTATTTATTATTTTACCATTAAGCTATTATTTTACCATTAAGTTGTTACCATTAAGCAGTTTTATTATTTTACCATTAAGTTGTTTATTATTTTACCATTAAGTTGTTTTATTATTTTACCATTAAGTTGTTTGTGTATATTGTCCCTTGTCAGATGAATAATTTGCAAATAAATTTTCCCGTTTTACAGGTTGTTTCTTCCCTCTATTTTTGCTGTGCAGAAGCTTTTTAGTTTAATCAAGTCCCAGCTGTCTATGTTTCTTTCTGATACCTGTGCCTTTGTAGTTTTACCCTTAAATTCTTTGCCTAAACCAGTATCCCAGAGCACTTCCCTTATATTTTCACCTAGTAGTTTTATAGCTTTGGGTCTTAATACATTTAAGTCTTTAATCCATTTTGAGTAGATTTATATACATGGTGAAAAATAGGGGTCAAGTTTTATTCTTCTGCATGTGGATATCCAGTTTTCCCAGTATCATTTATTGAAGAGGTGTTCTTTCTCCAGTGTATGTTCTTGGTACCTTTGTCACAAGTCAGTTGGCTGTAAATATGCATTTACCTCTGAGTTTTCTGTTTTGTTCAGTTTATGTGTGTCTTTACATGTGAGTTAAGATTCTTGTAGGCAGCACAGAGTTGAGTCTTTTTGTTGTTCTTATTGTTCATTCACCCAGTCACATCTGGGTAGATCCAGTGTAACTTCCATCTCTGGGACGATGCAGTCACATGGAGTCGACAGCCGTCTATTCTAGGCTCTCCTGTAGCTAGGATTGCAGACATCTGTATTGTGATCTGCTGGGAATCTTTCACTTACCTTTTCGCTGCAATGGTTAGTCCCTCTTGTCTCTAAGCCTATCCTGGTTGACTGCTTTGCTTTCCCTTTTAAGGTGCCATCTTGAGTTCTGTGTCTCAGGGGTCTTTGTCCCTTTCTTGCTGATTATGGTACAGATTTTCCCTTTGATGCTCTCTTCAATGTGTGGTTATCTATTTTCTATTTTTTGGTCTTTCTTTGTGGATGGAGCCAGTGCTGGGCATAGTCAGCCATCTTGATACGTATTTATTCTTGAGTCAGCAATAAGCTATGTTATATATATTTTTAATTAATTTTATGTATTTATGCATTTAATAAATATATTTA